ACGAGAACTGTGAGGATCCACACTATTGAGAGTGGATTCTCCGGGATTATCGGCACTGACGGTGTCACTGGTTTCATGATTGTCATAAACCAGGTTAGGTTTGCGTTGCCCTCAGAAAGGGCAGTTTCCCTGTCACTTCACTGTTCCTCATGCTAATGAGTAGGATCAATCCATCTACTCCACTGACAACTAATCCTTCTTCCCCTTCCCCACAAATCAATTAATCCTTTCTTATAGCCATCAGCCAGATCAGCAGGCTGATTCAGTTCACTGCCTAGCCCCGCAGGCAGGGACAGGGGAGTGGGAGAATCCCCTCGTCCTTTGGCTGCAGCCAGCTGTGAAGGGCACGCTGAGAAGTGGTGGAGGTGCTTCTGAGATGCCAGGGATGGCAGCAGCAGTGGAGCAGTGCAGTAAGTGGCTGCTGTTGGAGCAGATGGGCCAAGCCACGTGACAGCTGTGGCACATGAATCCAGGTGGCTTTGCAAATGAGAGAGTGAAGTGCAGCGATTAACAAACAAATGGAATAAGTTTTCACATTAGAAGTAAGGCATGAGATACAAGGAGTATATGGGATTTAGTAGACTGGGTAAGAGAATAGCTGAAAACCAGAAAGCATTTACAAACAGAATGAAAGACATGGAAGAATTTTCTTACCAAGACTTCTTCGTGTGTGTCAAACACCTGGTCTTCAGAAACACCAAAACTCCAAACTAGACAAAGGTGATACAAGGAAGCACTTTGGTTTTGACCTCCTGGAATAATTCCTGACCCAAAACCTTCTATTCCAGTTCAGTGCCACTAAACTATCCAGTGAGCTCTCAGGCTGTAAATGAATCAAAATGAGTCTTAGACCTTATTATGGGGAAATGCCATCTCTGATACCATATCCCATTTTTCTTGTGAAATTGGCCCCTATTGCTTTAACATTACAAAGGCACCTTATTAAGTGGGAGAGAGGGGAAAATCCTTCCTGGCAGGATTACTAATTACCCAAACTTTGAATGTAATGCTGTTATAACTTTATTGCTTCTGTACACTTTGGGCTTCTATTGAAGGTGGCTGTCTTCTGAAGGAATGTATTAAGTATCCTGCATTGTCAATTGCCGTTTCCTAGAAAATGAGGTGTAGGTGAAGGGTTTCCTCTTCTGTCATTTTTTTTAAACAAACTTGGCATTCTCCCTTTGTGGCAGGAATTGAGCTCCGCTGTGGTCTCCTTTGGTTTTGTGGTTTTGATGCTCCTCTCAGACATTTGTCTTCGACCAGCAAGCAAAGATGGGAACTCCACCAAAGTGTTAAATGTCTAGCATAGTAATTAAACATACCTTCACCTGCTGTCTGATTACAAAGATCATTATTTTAAGTTATATTCCTTATAATAATAAAAATATGTACTATTATTTTAAAGTCCTGGAGACCTTTGCCCCGTCCATCTAAGACTACTTCTTTCTCTGCATAGCACAAAGGGTTAGTATGTTAGTGTGGTGCCAGATTCATCTCATATTTTGTAGAGACGTAAATCCAGAATCACTTTATTGACACTGATAAAACAGATGGCTAAACCCAAGCTAGACAGAACTGTAATTGTAGCTGCGGTGTTAGAGGTGAAAGTATGTAATTAAAACATTTCCCGCTTCTCTTTGAATAATATGTAGGTCTTGCAAAATGTAAACATCATACTGACCATATCAAATGTCACTCTAGCTTCTGGATGGGAAAAGTATATGGTGCAAAAGGGAATATGCGCAGAATGACTATGAGAGCTCCTAATTAGCCATTATAGGATTCCATTAATCTCTTCAATCGACTAAAAGAATTATAGTCATGGAAGTCCATTTGTCTTAAGATGGAAAGAAGGCTTAACCAAAGCCTTTGGACTGATGATAATGAAAGGCAAAGCATATTCTGTGCATCTAGCTACATCTGTTGGTTTTCTTAGAGAAGGTCACAGCCATCTTCAGATAACGTCAGAGCAGATATCATTCAAGACTGCTGAGTGTATTAGTACATATTTTACCAGAGGTCTGGCAAGCTGCCCGTGGCTACGCATGCATATACATATACATATAAAGTAATTTGTGTTCCTGGGTGGGAGTTTGGAGTTGGAGGTCATGGATAGAGAAGTACAGGCCCAAATGACTTGGACACTTCTCTGTTCCCTTGGTTTGTGTAATGGACTCTAACGTACCTACAGCTCCTTCCTTGTGGCTGTCAGCGGGGGCAAGAGGGGCGCGCAGCCGGGGAGCAGCCGCGTCCTGCCCGGCTGCCGGCTGGCTGTCCCCCCGGGCGCCGGGCCCGCTTTGCGCAGCCGGGGAGCAGCCCCCTCCTGCCCGGCTGCAGGCTGCCTGTCCCCCTGGGCGCTGCGCCCGTCCCTCGAGGGGTGGCCTCCGCCTGGCTTCTGTGCCATAGCTGCTGGATCTTGCACGGTCAGGAGGACCACGTTATCCCGGCACTTTGAAAGCTGGAAATCGTAAGCGGTTTTTTGAGTTTCTAATGTTTCTGGTTCTGATCTTAATCTTCCTAATATGAAACAGTTACATTTGCTCCAACGTTATTTTCCTGAGTTTATGGGAAGCTTCAGCAGCATAAGCTTCCTCACATGCAGTGAGCTCATATGTCAACAGTATTTCCTATTTAATTTATTTAATGTTTAATTGTTGCCCATGTTATCAAATAGAGTAAGAAACTGCAGTGGGCTAAGGCTTCTGGAGGGAATTGGAAGTGAAAATGCAGAAGAGAAGAAAGGGAGAAGAACCAATAAAGGATAGTGAACACCACAGAAGTGACTTAGCAGTGGCTATAAAGGTGGAGACATACTGCCACCATGCAGCAATGACGATAAAAAGAAAACTAACCATATTTTGCCATGGATCTCTGGTGCAGACCCATCCTTGAAATTGGTGGGAATTCAATGGACCAGAGAGCACGTTATCTCTAATGTATTTTTTGGCTCACAGATCACAATTAAAATTAAATTCTGCCTTCTGCAAAATTAAATTGGACACACTGGTCTTGCTGCAGTGAATCCTTGATCTCGGTTGGTCTCAGTTGAGCTAGACTACTCAAGAAAAAAAACAAATGATAACTATGGAACTTTTCTTGTGAGAGTATGTGGAATTGCTATCATAGCACAAGTTGTTTTCAAGGAAACCTAGGATGTATAGGTTACTTTTCAGGAGAGGAAAGATTGTTTTACAGGCTCTTGCTATTGACTGCTGTTCCTATAGATCATTCCATTCAAGTGTCTTGGCTGCAAAAATATTAATACAAATGTTGTTATGAGATGATGATATTCTCAATATTACAGAGAATAAATGTTATCACTTAAATATTGTAAAGTGCCAGCATTTCTGCATGCTGCAGCTTTTTGCTAAGATGAGCATACACTTGTCAAATGTTTTGAATTCTGTATTATTCAGTAAATGAGCATGTGGTTAATTAAAGTAGCATTACTGTACTGGAAGGTGATCAGACTGCAAACATAAATTTTGCGATTGGCTCTTGTAAATAAATAGAAGAGACCTGATTGAGAACGGAAAATGTCAGTAGATGCAAAAAGCCACCCTAGAGCGTTACCTGGTAAAATAAGAGTAGAGGAGTAATGACATGGTCAATATTAACTGCCATCAGACGGAAAGAAATCAGATTGTCAGGGATCTATAAAATTGTTGCCAAAGTAGAACCTCATTTACACATACAGATCTTCATACCCTTTGCTAAGAAAAGCATATGTGACAGCTTAGAGGTTTTAGCTGCCAAAGATCTTTCACTCTGAATACAGTAAATGTCACATCTATTTATTTATCGTTAAATTTTGCTAAGTATCTGTAGAAATATTTGGATTTTTTCTATCATAATGTAGATGTTTAAAAGGAAAAGAATCCAGATTATAATGCAGCTGTAGCACCAAACCATATGGCTGCTAAATGGGAGCAAAAATACACCGCTGAATTACTGGGAGTAAACATAAACTGGATGCGATCTTCAGAAGAATATTAAATGGAGTATATAAATACCAGAGTATTGCCATAAAATCATGCAATCAGACAATAGTAGCCATCAGGCAATAGATTATTTCACATGCTGAAAGTAATCACAGTTGTATAGCAATTTACGTTTTCTAAATGCCAGACTGAAAATATTAACTAATGAATCTTGGCAAGCACAGTGTTTCTACCAACTGCATCAACATCTAGGCCTTTTTTTGAGAGAGACAACAAGAGAAAAATAAGGCAGCCATCCTACACCCCAGCTTTATTAGAATCCGTCCAGAGTCTCAGGTGCTCAAAACAGTCTTGTTTGTCTTTAATTCAATTCAAGCCTCTGACTTCTTTCTTTTAAGAAGATGTCTGTGGGTGATTTATTGATATGTTGGGTGGATTTTGCACTGTGCCGAGTAAGAACAAATGGTCCAGTGGAATACATATTCCATGTTATGAATAGTGCCTGGCATGAGAGAGAACTCAAATTAGCGTGGGTGTTGGGTTGCTCAGAGACAGTTTCGTGATAAGTCCATTTGGATTCTTGTGTAAAAAGGAAAAAGTTGTTAACTGTCAGGATAAAGGCTTGTGCCTCTGCTCGGTCTGGTAAAAACTTACTGGGGGCAATTGTCAACTGTACTTTTATATTTTGGGTCTCTTCTGTTCTTTTTAAACAATGTGGAAGGAGAGGAAGCCTCTTCATCCCATCCACAGCCATCTTTAAACTGCAAACAAGAACTAAACTATCCTTGAACTTCAATTGGACTTTGTAAATTATCATCGTGGGGAACAGACTCTCAGGATTCATAACTGCAGTGCTTAGAATTAGAAATATAATATGAAGAGTTTACCTCAAAATTGGCCAGATTCATCAAGATTTCTTATTATCCCATATTGAACTAGCTGTGCCCCTGGGAACTCCGATCTAAGTGATATTGAGTGAAGACTTTCTCTCCTGAGTTTGTAGCTGAAGTTTTATGTATGAGGCAAACAGCAACTCTGAGCATCTCTTTCTTTCCACAGATGATATGGAAGCAATTCCAGTCAAGCAGTTCGTTAAACACATCAGTGAGCTGTATTCCAATAACCAGCATGGGTTCTCGGAAGACTTTGAGGTACGATTTAATAACCCACCAATAAAACGTTGTTTTCCTAAAGTTAATTGTGTATTAATACTTGGGGACCATGCCACATCTGTGTGATGCTGTCATGTCAGGTAAATGCAATGTTCAAATGTATCCAAAGAAACGGGGAAATACCAGTTGGCCACCAGGTATGAGCAGTGTGGGACTGGACATTTATAGGTGATTCTAATGCCCACAGATTTGGTGCCTTTAAGGGGGGACCCTCCTAGGTTTTTATTAAATAGGAGAAGCTGCCTGCAGTCCCCCAGGAATGACATGAAGATACAAGGAGTTGTTTTTAACAACTTATACTCTGCAGCTTACTTTACTCTTTTTGGCCCCAAGTTTGCTCCTCTTAGTCACATTGAGAAGTCAATGTCCCTTGAGTAGCCCAAAAGGAGTAAAATAGTGCTCACTATGAGTAAGAGTAGTAGAATTAGGTCTTTATGAAAACCCAAACTATGGGTCAGTTCCTGGAGTCCTTGTTCATCCTCTGTTCAGCTGGGAAAGATTGCTATTGAAGTCCTTGGTTATTTTGGTTCAGTAAAACCAAGGAGAAGGGCTTTGGGATTTAGTTGGTAGTATTTACCTAGTGTGACTATTTCATGTCTTGCATCTTGTTACCTGTTCAGGACAGATTCTGACCTATAAATTTGAGGTAATTCCAATGACATTCCAATGATGTGAAAGTAGTTTTCCACCTCTGGGTTACCAAACCCATATTGTGCAAGCACGGTAAAAATCACACAGTAAGAGGATGGGCTGCAGAGTCAGGCCCTAATAAGCTCAAGTCAGTATTCTCTGGCTAGTCTTTAGGCATTTATTTCATTCAGTCTAATCAGAGTCACTGCTGAACTTTTGGAAGTATTGAGAAGCAGGAAGAATCCCAGGAAATTGCACGGAGCTGTGCTACTGGCATCCCTACCAGCAAAAGGAGGTGTGTTTGTGTGCTGCATGTGAATCAGAGAGGCAGCTCTGCTTACAAACAAGGCACTGAACCAAAATAGGGGGCCTAATATCTACGGCTTCTTCGCTTACTGCAGTAAAGACAAGACTGTATGCAGGAATTGTTTTTAATGGGATCATTTAAAACATTTATTGTTGCTGTTTGGTTACTGTCTATAAAGAGTGGCTGCTTTGTCTGATGCCCAAAAACCATTGTGTAAGTTAGAAACATTTTGTATTCATGAGGAAGGCAAATGTGTAAGGTGTTAAAGTGATTTAGTTCAATTGACTGCTGGCTGGATGGCTGAGCAGGAATATTGAGGCATTTAACAATGTTGATGGTATTCAGGACAAACATTTATTCTCCAGAGAGTAGAATTTGATCAGGATGATCAAATGCGACTCACTCTTCTCAATTATTTATGAATTGCGACCCCAGTGCTATTCATCACAGCTGGGTTTTACACCATTTAATTATTCAAAATAATCAGCAACACATCTGTAAACTTGGTCTGGCTTTAAGCAGGCTTTGCTTCAGCTGTCGCAAAATGACTGCTATTAACAAATGTTGGACACCTTCCGCCCATGTTTTAGCAAAGAAAAACACTGCTCTAATAGCCCTATTTTTTCCCTTCCTCCTGGAGCTCCCTGCTGCAAGTGCCATGCCGTGGCAGCCAGTCGGAGGGATGGCTTTGGCCAATTAGTCCTATGCTGGGGAGCGCAGGGTCCCCTCTGAAGGGAAGTTAAACTCCTCCAACTGCACTGCACAAGCCAAATTCTGTTCTCCATGCTGGCTTAAAATTTAGAGCGCCTCCTTTGAAGTCAGTATAGCTACTGCAGATGTATTTCTCCGCAGCTGAGGTCTCGGCTTCCTAAAGAGCAAATGAAATCTCCTCGAGTAAGGAGAAGGAATAGGAACAAGACGATCCCTATCTGGGATAAACCATCCAGCTCCCTTTCATTGATTATGTTCTGCCTTGCTGATGCCTCATGGGCCTGATTTTCTTCCTTATGGATCACCATGATGGGACAGAAGAGTGAAACCCAGGTGTTTTCACAGACCCTGTAGGTAAAATGTTTCTCAAGCACCTAAACTGACTCAGAGATCAGAATCCCAGTTTTAGCTGAGGGATAGAGGAGCCTGAGGTGACATTTATACAGCAGCTCTTGGAAGTGGCAAGTGGTGTAACTTCTCACGCCCAGTCAGATCCAGCCATGGTGTACGTGCTGGAGTTGTATCTGCCAGCCAGAGTCAAGACTTAGCTATGTTTTATGGAGAAACAGGAGGATTCCAGCTGGAACAGAAAATCTGGTGCTACAGAGCTGCTAGAGTTGGGTGCACAGCCACATCATGCTAAGTGCAGGGTGGGTGCAAATTCATAATGCACGCTCAAATTTGTTTCCAATAGGTTAGCAGGTCGCCACTGTGCCAGCAGACTTCCTCCGGGGCCAGATATTGTCTGCCCACACCCTTCTCACTTTCTGCCATGGGCGACTGTTACCGATCTTGCACATAACAACATAAAAGCAGCGTGAACTTCTCGTCATGAGGTCTTGCTGCTTTAGCAAAAATGGGATTGTGTGCTGATACTCAATCCAGATCACATGCTGAGGGATTGGGCAGTGTGTGTCAGTAATGCACCTCCAACCCCTTCGCGCCTGGAGAACTTCTGAAAAGAGGTATTAGATTCTGCAGTCATATGGGCTTTTTACAAAAAATCTGCTTTTTACATCTAAAAGGAAGAGAGAAGAGGATGGCAAGGAGATGCTGAAAAAATGTGATCAATGATACAGAAAAAATAAATCTTCCCAAAAATAGCCAGCGTATGGGTTTTTTTTAAAGGAGAAAAGGATCAAAAATCTCTTCAGAAATTTCCATGGCAGGAGGTTTTATGGTGGAACCTATGGAAGGGAAGATTAAGGTAGGCACACGCATACTCTGCCCAGTGTAGAAGGTAAACATTCTCCATTCATTTGTTGCTAGTTTTTGGTGTAAGTCTTCTCTGATGTTTTTGGCAGCACATTGTGGGGTTGTATTGAGTTGTTTTTTACATGAAGAAGATTCCTTTGAAAGTAAATTGTGTGACTGCTCCCGCTCCCTCTTAAAATGAGCTGTAATTACAGCTAAATATTTTGTGAATGAGCTTAGGAAGCATTTCATGTGCAGAGGTAAAAAGGACTTTGAACTCATAAATCTTTCCTTGGAAAGTACATCCAAAATGAATCTTTATTCCCCTTGGGTAATCACAGTGCAAGTTGCCAGCTTTATTGTCTGGTGATAGCTGGCCTTTCTTGTATATACAGAATTGTTAAGATTTCCTTTGAGTCCTGTGAATTTTCAATTTTTGATATAAACTAGAAATATAAGGCCCAATTTAATGCCAAACAACAAATAGTTTTTAAAATAAAGTTCACGATCCTGCATCACTAGTGCTGGTCTCTGATATAACTCTTTGTATTCCGCCTTGGAATTTGTTCAACCTAATACTGAAAAAAGTTTGAGGAGGTTTTTTGGCTTGCGCTCGGGCAGCTCCAGCACCCTCTTGCTATGGCATGTGGGGTGAGGTACCACATTTTTACAGGGCAGCACTGGGGCGGGGTTTGGTGACAAGACTGAGCAGGGATTGAGAGGCTTCCTGAGCCAGAGATTATATCTACTCCTTGTCTAGCCAGAGATTTTCTTGGCATCATTATGTTTAATAGACTTTGATAAATCTTTCTTCCACAAATTTCCAATTGTCTCTTGAACTCTTTCAGACTTCTGCTATCCAGAGCATCCCATGGTAATGAATTCTACAATTTGTTCCACAAGGGTGGAATTCCCTTTGCTTTTAACTCCTAGTAGCTTCTCTTGGTGCCTCCTAGTTTTTGCGTTACAAAGTGCATCCCTCCTCACTTAGATGCTTCACAAAATTCTGTCTGCCTCCCTCGTATTCCCCCTTAATCGTCTGGTTTCAAATCTGAAGAAGTCTAAACGATGTAATTTATTTGTTTGAGGAAGCCATTCTAGGCTTATGATGACTTGTTCTCTCTGTACCTTTTTTCCTTCCTTTAGCATATCCTTTTCGAGATGGGAAGGCCAAAGCTGTGCACAGTATTTAATGAGCAGGTTTACTGCAGAGTTCTGCGGGAGCACAGTGATGTTTTCTGTTTGGTTTTCTATTACTTTCCTCCTTCCTAACACACTATTTGTTTCTTAACAACTACTGAGCACTCAGCAGACACCTCCAGAAAACTATCAGCTGTGACCCCAAGGTCTTGTCACAGAATGGCAATAGCAAATTGGGAACCTGTCAGGATGTATGTATAGTTAGGGTTGTTTTTCCCAAGTACATCACTTTGCATTTATCAACATTGAATTTCATTTGCCATTTTATCGCTCAGTCACTCAGTATTGCAGGGTTGTTCTGCTTCCCTTCACAAGCAGCTTTTGTTCTAATTATCCTGAATAATTTTGTATCATAAACACACTTTGTCTCTTCTGCAGTCGATTTATGAATAGATTAGGTCCCCGTAAGGTCCACTGCGGTGAGTCCCACTGTTAAACTGTTGGTATATGAGGTGAGTTTTCCTTTTGCTCCAAGACAGATCGGTTTTTAAAGTAATGTTCTCTGAGAGGCATTTCACAAACATTTTGGAAATCCAAATATGCTATTCTCTTCCAGACTGTTCTTACCTATGGACTTCTTCAGGGACCTCTCCACAGCGTGTTAGAGGCATTCACTAGCTCTGCTATTTATTACAGTGTCTAGCAGTTTGCCCCATAGAGAAGTCAGATTTAGTGAGCTGCAGTCCCTGAAACCCCTTCTGGATCTCATTTTAAAAACTGATGTCACATTTGTCATCTTCTGTTCCCCTGATAGCCTGACTATATAGGGCATGTGCCCTCCAAATTCTTCTATCAAAGAGAGTGTGAAGTGCCACCTCCCACGGTGAAGCTTTTCACTCCCTCCCCCTGCCCGGTTACCGGAATAACACAGTAAGTTTTTTGAGTAGTCATGTCCTTTTGCTCTAAGAAAGGAACACTAAGCCAAGAAATCACCCTC